TTATTTTGACATGCTTCCTGTCATCATTTTTATTTTGACATGCTTCCTGTCATCATTTTTATTTTGACATGCTTCCTGTCATCAGTCTTATTTTGACATGCTTCCTGTCATCATTTTTATTTTGACATGCTTCCTGACATCATTTTTATTTTGACATGCTTCCTGATAGCAGTCTTACTGTGACATGCTTCCTGTCATCAGTCTTATTTTGACATGCTTCCTGTCAGAAATCTTATTTTGACATGCTTCCTGACAGCAGTCTTATTTTGACATGCTTCCTGACATCATTTTTATTTTGACATGCTTCCTGTCAGCAGTTTTATTTTGACATGCTTCCTGTCAGCAGCCGGGTTTCCTCCTCTGCTGGAGGATCAACTGATCAGAATAAACGGAGCTCTGCGGCCGGCAGAGCAACACGAATCAATCCCATCAATCAGTGTCTTCCTGTGTGTCCGCGGGACCCCCCCCCCCCCCCCATCTGCAGCCGAGGTCACCCTGCTGCAGCGTCCTGCTCACTTCAGGACTTTTAGCTGCTTTTGTGCTCCTTATGCTGAAAAGTGAATATTTAGCTAAAGCTTTTTGAAGTCTTCTGCCGTCAGTCAACAATCACTTGTAAAATTATTCTTTCCTACTGAACAACATTTTATTTCTGCTTGATGCTGCCATTTTTCTACAAATTATACATTTTTTTCTGTTTAAACATGTTGCACGTTTTAGGTTCATGAAATGAGCTAAATGTTGCATTCTGCTCTATTGATATTTAAATATAAACATATTTGAAAAACTAAAGAACTTTAAAGAAATGTAAGCCAACTGTCCACATGGTGGCGTGCTCAGGAACCCAAGCTGATTCCAGCTCTTCATCCCCACCCCCTCCCACGCTCACACATCGGTCCAGCTTCCTCTCTTGACTCCAGCGCCTCCTCACCTCTTTTATTGGACACATTTCTTGTCTTTCTTCAGCATTTTTTTTCTCCTTCTCTTGTTTTTATCGAGTCAGTCTGCAGAGGACGTGTGCTGGGATTATTCCAATTTGCTGATATAACTATCAGCACAAACCATCTGTACCTTCATCAGTATGTGCACACTGCACAAGGACACATCATTACACCCCCCCCCCCACCCCCAACATGAATAATTATGTGGGGCTCTTGGTTCAGGAGGCTGCACTCATCAGATTATTACCAGGAAAGTCTTGAACTCGTGTGATTGGTCAGTTTTTGGGCTCTCCACAGGCGACTGTTTAAGTAGCTGGGTCACCCCCGGTGATGGGGTGGGCTGGGGGGTGGGTGGCAGATCTGGTGTTTGGGGCTAAGATAAGATTAGAACTTTATTGATCCCACAGGAAATTGTTCTAATCAGGAACATGTGGGCAATGATATAATTGTGTATCTGAATAAAGTGGAAGAATGACTGACTGCTCATCTTCAAAAACCATCAAAGTTAAA